ATTCTTATTTTAAAAAGCAGCTGGAAGTCCAGATTTCTAATGTGAATACTTTCACCAAAGAGATGGCAGGCCAGGATTTCACCCGGAGCCACCAGTTCATCGCCCCTGGCTTGGTTTCACATCTCTATCTTCTCGTTGACTGAGAGCTCCAGGAAACTACTTACCAATGTGAAAACCTATATATTCACAGAAAGGAAGCTGGACAAACACATGCTCAAATTTGAAAGATAAAGGGTGAATGAATGATACCGAGGGCTTAGAAGGGACTGAGAATGGTGAGTTTTAGTTCATCCACTCAAGTATTACACACACCCCTGATGCTGTCTTGACGCTTACATTCTAATGAGTCAGTGATAAAATAAGTGTCAGCCAGTGGTAAACATTATGAAAAAATTAGTGCTAAGGGAGAGGATGTGACTGGAGAACCTAGAGCTTATTTTAGTAGGGTGAGGAGGGCAGCCATGGAGAGAGGATTTCAGAGGGATGGGATAATGAGGCCTATCATGTACGATCTAAGCGAAGGGCGTTCCAAGGAAGAGGCCAAGTACAAAGGCTCAGCAACAGATGAGAAAGAGTGAGAGGCCGGCCAGGAAGCACCTTATGGAAAGTGGAATGGGGAATCACTGGAGTTTACATAGTAGAGCAATGAGTGACTTTTTTGTGGGGGGGAGAGGAGTGATTTTTGCTATAGGACATGTGTGCTCACTGGAGAGACAGCGAGATCAAGAGCGAAAATGAGAAATCACCCCAACACCACGAGGGGGAAGCCACATTGTAATCCCTTCTCCTCTGTTCTCCTCTCAGTATTTTGGGCATGCATGTATATATGCCTAGCCTGAGTTTCAATCCCCCAGATCTGGGACTTGAACAGTGGTTGGCCATGTGGGCCTCCAGTACCTTAGCCACCATGCCACTTCCTGGCCTCACACTTTTTTAAGAACTTCTTTTCAAATTTAACTTTATTTACTCTTTTGAATTTGACCAGAGGAACAGAAAGAGGGAAAGTGAGAAAGCAAGCCACCAGGTCCAGGACTCGAACAGTGGTCAGTCACGCTGGAGTCCAGCACCCTTAACCACCATGCCACCTGCCAGCCCCCTAGCCTCACATTTTCAAATGATCATTTTAGTTGCTGTTTGAAAATGATTATTATAAAGAACAGAGAAATGCTACCACATACAGTAGAAAAGTCATGGCTGGTAAGAGGGATTTGAATAACATACATTTTCCTAAACTAGTTGGATGCTCTCTAATATGCAGTTAGAATGACATGTTAAAATCAGAATCCTTTCCACTTGCCCAACACACACTACTATAAAAAAAAGCTGCAAGCTGAGGGCCGCTCTGCATTCAAGAGGTTAAGTAATGTGTCAAGTCACCCTACCCTAGTAGAGGAATGACTTGAATGCAGTCCTGTTCGCTCCTCACAGATGGACAAATTTCAAATGGTTACAAGGTCAAGATACAGTTTCCAGCCTGAGTGAAAAAGCTTGGGGACTCAAAACCCACACAACGCATGCTGCCTCCTTTCAATATTCCCATGCGGGGCGTCCGACCGCGGGACGTCGCGGGCCCTTCCGGGCTGTGCGTGTCCCCCCTGGGGCCCTGCTAAGCCGGCGGCGGCAGGAGGCGGGCGGGCGCCAAGGCTGCGT